GCCCCTCGGCGTTCAACCTCGGGCGCCATCCGAGGAGGGGAGAAAATCTCCATAAAGGCGGTCTTGGCTCGTTGCCTCCTGGTGGTCCGGTCTCCGTTCTCGACCAGAGCTGCGCCTTCGCCGAGGTCCTGACCAGCTGCGCCTTCGCCGAGAGCCTCCGAGACACAATTCTGGATCGCCGCCGAGACTGCTCTCGGGCAAGCGACCTCGTGATCATCGTTGAACCAATCGCCATCGTACCAAAACAACTCTGGCTCTCTCAGAGGTGGGGTGGATAGGGTAACGATGGGGGTCGGGAGTCCCACGGGGTAGCAGGCGGAGGCGAGAGGAAGGAGGTTCGAGGATGGCAGATGGGATGTTTCAGGCTCCTCTCTCGAGCAGCAGAGACAGCTCGCGGAGCCGGCCGCCGGCTGCGGCACAGAAGTCTTGTCCCTCGACGCCTGTCGCGTCCTGGAACTGCTGCGCTGGCTCAGACCAGCTCCCATGAAGAGTCCCCTGGTGGAGACGTGGTAGTCGTCGTCGTAGTTGCCGTCGTGGTAATCGGCGCCATGCTGTCCCCCGTCCCGCCGTCGCTCTGAGGGGCGTCGGGCCACCCCGGCGGCGTGCCGAACGGCCTCGGAGGTTGAGGCTGCTCGGGCGTCGGGGGCTGCATCCCCGCTGCACTGCTGCTCGCCGCTCCAGGCTCGGGCATGGCCGTCGCTCCGATCGCCGCTGTCAGGGCGTGCATCGCCGTGTTCATCTGCACCATCATCTGCATCATCATGTTCGCGTTGTGGTGCAGGTACCCCATGTTGCTGTTCATGTTGGCCAGGTTCTCGGCGATGTTGTCCACTGACGTCTGCACGAAGTCGATCGACTCGCCGAACTCCTCGAGGCTCCCGAGGATCCGCTGTATCCTGACGACCCCCTGGTGAATCTGCAGCATGCCCTCCTGCAGCTGGTTCGGCGTCTCCTGGGCGGTCTGCGCCTGGGCCACCATCATGTCGAGGACCTCTTGAACGTTGGCGAGGGCACGAATGCCCTCGGGCACGTTCTGCAGCTGCCACTGCAGACTCTGGAGAAGTCCTCCGAGCTGGTTGACGGTATTGAGTGCTGCCGCGCCTTGCTGAAAGGCTCCATCTGCTTGTAGAATCTCCACTGCCCGGCCGGCGGACGCCGCAGCTGCCCTTGCAGCTTGGGCCGCCGTCTGCTCTGGCCTCTCGGCCGGAGCTCCGCGGGGATCTCCCTCTGGGAAACGGGTCTTTGGGATCCAGGTGAGGCGAGTCCCGCATCTCGTGCACTTGGACCCGCTGCCGTGCTGATTGCCGTAGTATCTGATGCTGATCTGTGGATGGGCGCACCCTGGGTCCGGCTCGTCGTTGATCTGAATAGGTGCCTCCGTTGCTGTTGATGGCCCCGCCTGAGAATGAGGAGGAGGCTTGACCTGAGCTGCTGGTCCGAGCGTCACTGGAGTCGGCTGCCTGGGCAGGGCCGTTTGTCGAGCAGCCGTCCAGGCCGGGGGTCTCCCGGTCCTTGGATCTGGCTTCGGTGGAGGCTGCTGAGGGCCAAGACCAAATGCAATCGGGTTGTAGCGATAGGCGTTGCTCGGGAGATCTGGCGTCGCCTGGAGTGCCGGTGGCCTCCTCGCCGACCCTGCCGAGCTCGCTGCTTGGAGCTGAGGTGCCGAGCTGGATGATGACGACCCGCTGGCTGCCTGCGGCTGAGGTGCTGGTTGAGCGGCCGCCGGCCCTCCCAGGGCCTGCACTGCCTCCTCGGCCGCTGGGTCGAAGACGCCGAGGCTGTCCGCGGTCGCCATCTGCATGGCAATCTCGTCGTCCGTGAGGCCCGAGTCGGAGGTCGTCGTGATGGTCGCCGGCACTCCCACAGAGCCCTCGCCCGGCGCCGCGGCTCCGCGAAGCTGCCTGAGCCGCTCGAGCTCCTCCTGAGTCGCCTCGTACGCGGCGGGCTTCTTGCCCCCGCTCTTGACCATGATCGCTTGCGCAATGAGGACCAAGATCCTCGTCTGGAACATTGCCTCGACGCCGGCTGTTGCAGCGGGCGCACTCGTGAATGGAATGCTGGTGAGCTGACCTGCTTCGCCTGAAGCTCGAGCCAAGACAGGCTACGGTGAAACAGATTGCTGGAAGCACCCCGGATCGTCCCGAGTGCTCTCGATGAGGCCGTCCTCCGAACTTCGCCTTAGTTGCTCCAGCTGACTCTAAGCCCCGCAATCTGGACGCTGTCTGAGCTCGTGGCAAGAGGCCCCCGATAAGCATGACTGAGGAGAGCTTCCCGATCCTGCTGAGGTCCTCGCCGGTCCTGGCCTGGCACCGTCTCGGCCCCCTCGTCACCTGGACCAGGATGAGCACGAAGAGGAGGAGGAGGAGGAGGAAGACGTAGTAACGCACCTCTCCAGACTCGAGCATCTCCGGTGGGGACCGATTGCCCAGCATAAACGAATTCTTATTCAAGCACGAGTATTTGCGCAATGCAGCCTCGGGAATCTCCAGAGGCTCTGGAAGCTGCTGCACTATCTCGGCCATGCGATGGCCTGATCCAAGCCGAGTGAGCGGGATGCTCGTCTGCAGAAATCCCGAGCTCATGGTGTTCTGTGGCAAATCAATCACACACTCGAGGAAATCAAGAAGATTGACACTCAAAATGTGCGGGATGTCCTCGGCCAGTACCGTGGTTTCCACGATGCCTAGTGACGCCCCGAGGCATACTGGGAACAGCACCGTGCCTAACACCTTGGCAGCTCCTCCTACCCCGTGAGCTGCCCTCGGCCTCTGCAGCTCCTTCGGGATCGTCTCATAGCACATCCCCAGGTCGGCCAGGGCTCGGGACTCGCGGTTCAGCGCGATCAGCCCCACCAGGTCGCTGCCCGCGCCGGGGTCCACCAGCGCCTGCGTCGCAGCCGCCGTCAGGTACACCTCGGACTGGCCGTCTGCCTTGAGGTCCTCCAGCATGTCCGAGGTCAGCTGCTCCTCCGGGACCGCCTCGCAGCCGACGAACGCGTAGGCCGACACCGTGCGCCTCTGGCCCCGCTGCTGCTGCTCCTGCTTGTGCCTCGGATTGTCCTTGTCCGGGCACTCGCGGTGCCAATGACCCTTCTTCTTGCAGATGGCGCACCGGGTGATCTTCATCAGCTGCTCCTTGGACAGCTGTGGGCGCCTGCGCACACCGCGGCCAGCGCCCTTGCCTCGGCTCTGGCCGAAGCGCCCCGTGCTGGGGCGTCCGCGCTCGCCCTGCCCTGCTCGAGGCTGGGGAGGAGGAGGTACTCCGGACCGTGGACGTCCGAAGTACTCGCGGTCCTGACGGGCCGCACGCTTCATGTCTTTGTTCTGCTTCCACGTGCGATTGTTGGGCCTGGACTCGATCATTGCCAAGGCCTCGTCGATCTGGTCCTCGTCCAAGTCCAGGTCCTCAAGCTCTGCGAGGAGCGCCGCTTCGTCCTCGCCGTCGTCGTAGTAGTCGTCGTCCTCTGGCTCCATCTCTTCGTCCACTCCAGAGTCTGGACCGACCTCCGACGAACCGACCGGGTACGAGGGGAGAGGAGAGCTGCCGCTAGCCTCGCCCGGCTCTTCGGCCTGGGCACCGGCGAGCAGAGAAGCCTGCCTACCTCCTGGAAGCATCCGCTCTGTCCCGGATGCGTCCATCTGTCGGAGCGCCCAGCTCACGCTCTCGAAGTCGATCCTGCCCAGCGTCAGGGTTCTCAGGTTCTGCATGCTCTGGGCGCTGAGCCCGGAGCCCTCCTCGAGCAGAAACCCCTTGATCTTGGACGAGAGGATGAGGTCGTGCCCCTCGGCTTCGAGGAACTGTGCCTCCCGCCTCGCCACATACTGCGTGAGGGTCTCCTTCTGCTCTCGGGAGGCCTCATACAGAGCTCGCCTGCCACTGCGTCGGAGGTCATCTCCCTCACGTTCACCTATCATGAGGTCCATCTTCTTCAGCACCACGTCTATCCACTCGTCGCTGATCAACGTACTCTCCGGTATGTTGTCGAACTGTGTCTGCATCGTCCACTCGAACAGCCGAAGGAACTTCTCCGAGCGCCTCCAGACGGGGACGTCCGTGTTGGTGTTCCACCTCCGGAGGGCCTTGCGCCAGGCGCGGTAGTGCGACCAGCCCGGCCAGGATGGGGGGTCGCTGTAGTCCCCCTTCCCGTACCAGCCGCCGCCTCCGCCGCCAGCACCTGAAGCAGACCATGTCCGCTGCCAGCTCGTGTCGTAGTCCCTCCACGCGCCGTCCGTCTGGCCGTCCTTCTGGCGGTCGTCCTTCCAGCGGCTGTCCTTCCAGCTGTCGTCCTTCCACTCCTTGTCGTTCCAGTCGTCCTTCTGCTGGCTGTAGTCCTTCCGACCATGCCAGCGGTGGGAGCCCTGGGCGGCACCATCTTCACCTGCTGCTGCCTCTGCACTATCCCGCCAGGGGTCCCAACCGCTATCCTTGGGCTCGTCTTGACCCTGGGAGCTGCTGGCCGCAGGCCCTGCTGGCTTGACCGTCTGCATGGCCTGTCTGACCGCTCCAGCAACTAGCTCCGTCAGCTGCTGAGCTGACAGGGTCACGGCTCCTGGAGTCCCTCCTGCCGCTCCTGTCGCCACTGGTGGCGCTGTCGGCGGGGTCTCCGTGAAACCAGCCACTCCCTTGTCGTTGTCGTCCTCGCCGTCGTCCGGCATCTCCGTGTGCCGCGCCGCCCCGTCGGCGCGAGCCCGGAGACAGCGGGGGCTCGCAAGCAGCGGCCGGGCTCACCCCCTCAGGGATGCCCGCCGCCACCCATGGCCACCCGCCGCACCAGGCTCCGCTACCAACTGTGGCAGCAGCAGGGGCAGTAGATGCTTTTCCCTTGAGCCAAACGTGTCACAACGGGTGAAATATGACAAGCTAACCATATGCTAAACCTGACGGGGAAAATCTGGAGACCAGCTACAATACGGCTGCCCCGAATTGCCACACACTGGTGCGGACCGCCTCGGCCTCGCCGCCGACGGAAACAGCTTGTGCAGGTGTTTGTCCCTCCACAGGCGAGGCCGGCGCCGCCCGCCCGCGGGGCGCGGCGCCCACGCTGCTCGGCGCGCGCGCGGGCCCGGCCTGGCGGGGCGAGGCTCCGCGGAGGGGAACACAGACGTGCTCGCGTCGCGAAAGGTTCAGGACGGACAGTTTCGGGGCGAGGCTCCGAGGAGGGAATCCCAGACGTGCCCGCATCGCGAAATATTCAGGACGGACAGTTGTTGGCCGCTTGAGGCCCTGGGGCGAGGCTCCGAGGAGGGAAGCCCAGACGTGCCCGCGTCGCGAAAGACTCAGGACGGATAGTCTTTGGCCGTTTGCGGCCCCCGGGAGCCCTCGCCGGGACCTGGGGCAGTCAGAAAACGACGCAGGATGAAAAACCGGTCCCCTGGGATGGAGTTGGGACTTCGGGGGGGAAATCAGGACGTCGCATGTCTGGGAGGGCACCGACCCTCAGATCCTGGCGTTGCGATTTTTGTTCCACAACGGGTGGGTTTGCTCTGTTCCGGGCCTGGGGACCCTCACAGATCGACCCAGCTCGAAAGGCGCAGCAGAAAGATGGGGTCCGGGGCTCCCGTCGTGCTGCTTGAAGATGTTTCAACTTCTTCGCGACGTCGGATCTCAGGGATGCCGCTGCCCTGGGCTCGCGTTTCGCCTTTCTGGTCATCCTGTGGGGCCCTCGTCGCCACGGCGTGGTTCGCTTTGAGATTCTTTCAGAACGCACCCCATGAGAGGTCCAGGTACCAGCCGTATCGGTACTTTAATTACCGGAGATCCGACGTTGCGACCAAAATTGCAGCATCGCGAAAGATCATGACCGGAGCCCCAGACCATTTCTTTCTGCGGCATCTTTCTTCGAGCTGGATTGATCTGCGATGGCCCCTGGGCCCAGAACTGGGCGAGAACACTCGGCGTGAAAAAATTGCAACGCCCTGCTTGTCGCAGTGTTTTTGTCCGGGAACGGGGGATTGTGGCGGTTTCGGATGTTGTTTCGCATAGTTTTGAAAAAGTTGTCGGATCATTATTCCTCATCTTCCTTCTCCTCTCCCTCCTCCTCCTCCTCCTCCTCCCCCTCCTCCTCTTCCTTCTCCTTCTCCTCCCCCTCCTTTCCCTCCTTTTCTTCCTTCTCCTTCTCTTCCTCTCCCCGCCTCCTCCTCCTCCTCCTCCTCCTCCTCCTCCTCCTCCTCCTCCTCCTTCTCCTCTTCCTCCCCCTCTCTCCTCCTTACCTTCCGTCTCCTCCTCCCTCATAATAGTTCCCAACCGTATTGTGGTGTTGGGTCCTCCTTTTGAAGAGACAGCGCCCCGCGTTCCTACCTCCTCTCCTCCTCCTCCTCCACCTCCTCCTCCCCCTCCTCCCTCCCATCCTCCTCGTCACCTCCCTGCGTTTCACCCATCCAGGACAGCGCTTCGCGGACCCATAGGGAGGACCACCGAAGGTCCCAGTGGCAGGGTCCGCATGCGTCCCCCCGCCCATTTCGGCACACCCCTCACGAGGACCGTGGCACTATAGGAAGCTCCACCGAAGGCCCCCGCGGCAGGGTCCGCATGCGTCCACCCGCCCATTTCGCCACACCTCTCACGAGGATCGTGGCTCCATAGGGAGCTCCACTGAAGACCCCAGCGGCAAGGTCCGCATGCGTCCCCCCGCCTTTTCGGCACACCCCTCACGAGGATCGTGGCCCCATAGGGAGCTCCACCGAAGGCTCCAGCGGCAGGGTCCGCATGCGTACCCCCGCCCATTTCGGCACACCGTTCACGAGTTTCGTGGCCCCATAGGGAGCTCCACCGAAGGCCCCAGCGGCAGGGTCCGCATGCGTCCCCCCGCTCATTTCGGCACACCCCTCACGAGGATCGCTGCCCCACAGGAAGCTCCACCGAAGGCCCCCGCGGCAGGGTCCGCATGCGTCCCCCCGCCCATTTTGGCACAACCCCTCACGAGGATCGTGGCCCCATAGGGAGCTCCACCGAAGGCCCCAGCGGCAGGGTCCGCATGCGTCCCCCCGCCCATTTCGGCACACCACTCACGAGGATCGTGGCCCCATAGAAAGCTCCACCGAAGGCCCCAGCGGCAAGGTCCGCATGCGGCCCTCCGCCCGTTTCGGCACACCCCTCACGAGGATCGTGGCCCCATAAGGAGTCCACCGAAGGCCCCAGCGGCAGGGTCAGCATGCGTCCCCCTGCTCATTTCGGGACACCTCTCACGAGGACCGTAGCGCCATAGGGAGCTCCACCGAAGGCCCCAGCGGCAGGGTCCGCATGCGCCCCCCCTCTCATTTCGGCACACCCCTCACGAGGACCGTAGCCCCATAGGGAGCTCCACCGAAGGCCACAGCGGCAGGGCCCGCATGCGTCCCCCCGCCCATTTCGGCACACCCCTCACGAGGATCGTGGCCCCATAGATAAGGAGCTCCACCGAAGGCCCCAGAGGCAGGGTCCGCATGCGTCCCCCTGCCCATTTCGGCACACCACTCACGAGGATCGTGGCGCCATAGGGAGCTCCACCGAAGGCCCCAGCGGCAGGGTCCGCATACGTCACCCCGCCCATTTCGGCACACTTCTCACGAGGATCGTGGCCCCATAGGGAGCTCCACCGAGGGCCATTGCAGCAGGGTCAGCATGCGCTCCCCCGCTCATTTCGGCACACCCCTCACGAGGACCGTGGCGCCATAGGGAGCTCCACCGAAGGCCCCAGCGGCAGGGTCAGCATGCGTCTCCCAGCTCATTTCGGCACACCTCTCACGAGGATCGTGGCCCCATAGGGAGCTCCACCGACGGCCCCAGCGGCAGGGTGCGCCCCCCCGCTCATTTCGGCACACCCCTCACGAGGACCGTGGCGCCATAAGTAGCTCCACCGAAGGCCCCAGCGGCAGGGTCCGCATGCGTCCACCCGCACATTTCGGCACACTTCTCACGAGGATCGTGGCCCCATGGGGAGCTCCACCGAAGGCCCCAGCGGCAGGGTCCGTATGCGTCCACCCGCTCACTTCGGAACACCTCTCACGAGGATCGTGGCGCCATAGGGAGCTTCACCGAAGGCCCCAGCGGCAGGGTCAGCATGCGCCCCCCCGCCCATTTCGGCACACCCATCACGAGGACCGCGGCGCCATGGGGAGCTCCACCGAAGGCCCCAGCGACAGGGTCCGCATGCGTGACACACCCCTCACGAGGATCGTGGCCCCATAGCGAACTCAACCGAAGGCCCCAGCGGCAGGGCCCGCATGCGTTTTTTAGTTCATTTCGGCACACCCCTCACGAGGACCGCGGCGCCATAGGGAGCTCCACCGAAGGCCCCAGCGGCAGGATCCGCATGCGTCCACCCGCTCATTTCGGCACACCCTTCACGAGGATCGTGGCCCCATAGATAGGGAGCTCCACCGAAGGCCCCAGCACACCCCTCACGAGGATCGTGGCCCCATAGGGCGCTCCACCGAAGGCCCCAGCGGCAAGGTCCGCATGCGCCCCCCCGCGCATTTCGGCACACCGCTCACGAGGATTTTGGCCCCATAGGGAGCTCCACCGAAGGCCCCAGCGTTAGGGTCCGCATGCGTCTTTTTTTATACAATTTCGGTACACCCCTCACGAGGATCGTGGCCACATAGGGGGCTCCACCGAAGGCCCCAGCGGCAGGGTCCGCATGCGTACCCCCGCTCATTTTGGCACAACCCTCACAAGGATCGTGGCCCCATAGGGAGCTCCACCGAAGGCCCCAGCGACAGGGTCAGCATGCGTCCCCCGCCCATTTCGGTACACCCCTCACGAGGATCGTGGCCCCATGGCAGGGTCAGCATGCGTCTCCCGCTCATTTCGGCACACCTCTCACGAAGATCGTGGCACCATAGATAGGGAGCTCCACCGAAGGCCCCAGTCCACCGAAGGCCCCAGCGGCAGGGTCAACATGCGTCACCCCGCCCATTTCGGCACACCCCTCGCGAGGATCGTGGCCACATAGATAGGGAGCTCCACCGAAGGCCCCAGCGGCAGGGTCAACATGCGTACCCCCGCTCATTTCGGCACACCCCTCACGAGGACCGCGGCGCCATAGGGAGCTCCACCGAAGGCCCCAGCGGCAGGGTCCGCATGCGTCACCCCGTTCATTTCGACACACCCCTTACGAGAACCGCGGCGCCATAGATAGGGAGCTCCACCGAAGGCCCCAGCGGCAGGGTCCGCATGCGTCTCCCCGCTCGTTTCGGCACACCCTTCACGAGGACAGCGGCCAAATAGATAGGGAGCTCCACCGAAGGCCCCAGCGGCAGGGTCCGCATGCGTTCCCCCGCTCATTTCGGCACACCCCTCACGAGGACCGCGGCGCCATAGGGAGCTCCACCGAAGGCCCCAGCGGCAGGGTCCGCATGCGTACACCCGCTCATTTCGGCACACACCTCACGAGGATCGTGGCTCCATAGATAGGGAGCTCCACCGAAGGCCCCAGCGGCAGGGTCTACATGCGTCCCCCTGCTCATTTCGGCATACCCCTCACGAGGATCGTGGCTCCATATGTAGCTCCACCGAAGGCCCCAGCGGCAGGGTCAGCATGCGAGCTCTACCGAAGGCCCCAGCGGCAGGGTCCGCATGCGTCCTCCCGCTCATTTCGGGACACCCCTCACGAGGATTGTGGCTTCATAGATAGGAGCTCGACCGAAGGCCCCAGCGGCAGGGTCCGCATGCGTCCCCCACTCATTTCGGCCCACCCTTCACGAGGATCGTGGCACCACAGATGGGGAGCTCCACCGAAGGCCCCAGCTGCAGGGTCCGCATGCCTCCCCCCGCTCATTTCGGCACACCCCTTACGAGAACCGCGGCGCCATAGGGGGAGCTCCACCGAAGGCCCCAGCGGCAGGGTCCGCATGCGTCACCCCGCCCATTTCGGCACACCGCTCACGAGGATTTTGGCCCCATGGGGAGCTCCACCGAAGAATCCAGCGGCAGGGTCCGCATGCGTCCCCCGCTCATTTCGGCATACCCCTCACGAGGATCGTGGCCCCATAGATAGGGAGCTCCACCGAATGCCCCAGCGGCAGGGTCCGCATGCGTCCCCCCTGCTCATTTCGGCACACCCTTCACGAGGACCGTGGCGCCATAGGGAGCTTCACCGAA